GAAGGAAGGAAGGGAAAGAGAAAGAGATAGACAGGAAGGAAGGAAGGAAAGAAGGAAAAAGAGAGAGAAATAGACAAGGAAGTAAAACAGATGGAAGGAAGGAAAGGAAGGAAGAGATAAAGAAGGAAAAGAAAGATAGACCAAGAAGGAAGGAAGGAAAAGAGAAAAAGATAGACAAGAAGGAAGGAAAGAAGGAAGGAAGGAAAGGAGAAAAAGAAAAAGTTAGCACAGAAAGAAAATGGGGAAGGAAGGTAGAGAAAGATAGCCAAAGAAGGAAGGAAGGAAGGGAGATAAAAGATCCAAAGAAAGAAAGAAGGAAATCCAATATAAGGAGCTATCTTTGCCAGGCAAGATAGACACAAAAATCTCCCTATAATAATAGTTTAATTGAGATCAGCCACTTGTCTGTCTTCATCAAGGCCTCGCCTGACCCTGGCAAAACCAGGATTGGGGGGAAGCGGGTGGGTGGGGGAGTGAGACCCTGCCTCCCCTCTGTTACCCCAAGGGAAGCTTTCCACCCAAGGCCAGAGCAAAAAAATAAATAAATTAAAATGGAGAGAGAAAAATAAAGGGCAGCTTTTTAACTTTCTCTCTTGCGTAACGCCCAGGAGAGATGTATATAATCTTAGGAGGAAATAGCTGTTCGTTTCAACCAGGGTAAAGTTGGTGCCAGCAGCCACAGTCCAAGGGCGAAGTTGGCATGGGGCGTGTTTGGGCAGGGCACAAGGTTGGGTCCCGGTAGGCGAGGGGGGGGGGGGGGGGGGGGGGTGGGGGGGTGGGGGTGGGGGATGGGGGAGTGAATCAGTCGGACACCAGCCAGCTCCGGAGGGAGGAGGAAGCGAACAGTTTTTGAGCCTTGCGCAAACAAAAACAGCGGTCGGAATGAGAGGGCAGGAGGCTCCTGTGAACAGATTTTCATTTCAGAAGAGTGGAATATCGCAGTTTGGGAGGCACTTTGGAGGTCATCCAGTCCAACCCCCTGCCCAGAAGACAGAGTAATGG